CGACGGTCGACATAGCCTACGCGGCTAGGCGGAGAGCCTTAACAAGCCAAAAATTGGTTAAGGCCCTTAACCGCTAGACCCCTCTCCCAACGGTCGACATAGTCTAAGCGGCTAGGCAGAGAGCCTTAACAAGCCAAAAATCAGCTAAGGCCCTTAACCTCTAGATCCTTCTCTCGACGGTCGACATAGCCTACGCGGCTAGGCGGAGAGCCTTAATAAGCCAAAAATCGGCTAAGACCCTTAATCGCTAAACCCCACTCCTGACTATCGACATAGCCTACGCAGCTTAGCACGGGGTAACACAAGGCTAAAATTTGCTAGGACCATCGACCACTGAACTCTAGCCTGATAAAAAGCCACTCCCCCGCACCATCAAAGAGTGAAAGGAAAAAGAAGAGGGACGACACGAGAGATGGCAAGTTGAGAGAACAATGCAATCAATAGTAATAATAGCGAACGAAAAATGTATTTATACATATGAGAAACTCTTGCCCACACCTCGGACAAGTAAGAGATAATGAGACTAAACAAAAGTAAACACAAAAAATGAAAAGTTAGCAAAGGGAACAACAACTAAGAAATGCTTCAGCTAGAAGGGGAGACATCCCCACTACCACCTCGTGATGAACGTCCAAAGGACTTGGATGACTGTGCTCCACTCTCCTTCCCCTTACGCTGCGCAAGAAATCTATCTAGACCAGAGGGGTCTATAGAAGGATGCTCGACCATAATCCACTCCTTGGAAAGTTTGATAGACGCTGCCATCGCCTTCCCTCCATATGAATTCAAAGCCTTAGCATAATCAAACGACGTCTTATACTGCTCCACAGATACCTAGAGATCTCTGGCATACTCAGCTGTGGCCTTATACCTCTCAATCGCCTCTTTTGGAGCGTGACCCAAAACAGAACGCAACTTGTCATTCTCCATCTCCTGCTCGCGAGCTCGAGCATCCAACGTCTCCAAAGATTTCTTCAAGGAGGATATCTTTTTCTTGTAGTGATGAGCTTCCTTTTTCTTTTCTTCAGTAAGAATCTTCAACTCCGAGGCCAAGCAACTATTCGATTCAGCGAGTCCAGTCTGGAGGGCTACCACCTAAGAAATGAGGGGGTAAAACAAAAGTCAAGCGTTAAAACCAAGCTTAAAAGGCAAGACCCAACATAAAAAAAAATGCGAAATTGGAAACATACCCTCTAGAGATAAACAGCCGTAGCCCTTTCATTGTCATCTGCACTACGCCCTGCAATTGCTCTAGCTCGAGTGGGCATCACCAAAGACTTGAGCACCCCCATCTCATGACAGCCTCGGGTGGGAGGTGATAAGTGTAGTTTCTACACTTATTTGGGATCTTAAATTATGATATTTTGTTATTTTTTGCACGGATTAGTAATTGATTTGTTATTTATTGCTTTTATTAGGAAAATTTCATGCTTCAAAGAAGAATTGGAAAAAATAACGGAAAATGGCTAAATGAAGCAAATCCAAAGTCTGGGGGACCAAAGTGTAGATATTTAATGATTGATTTGGACCACAAAAGATACTTTGAAGATTGATAGGAGTCAATTGAATGCAAATTGGAGTAAAAAATGATAGGGATATGATTAGAATATTACCATAAATCGACTTCCAAACATATATGATCTTTTTAAGATTTTTGGTCAACTTGAGACCCATTTTTCGGATGGAGAACGTTTGAATTGGAAAATTTGTATTTCTAAAATAATTGTATATTTTTTAATTAGCTTTCCAATGCACTTTGAATCACCTAAATCGGACACCAAAAGAGAAAGTTATGATCAAAATACTGAAAACTGTGCAGAGACAAAATTATGTGCGCGCAAAGGCAACTTTCCTTATTTGATGCAAACTCTTTTGGAAGACAATTTGGACGTGAATTTTGACCTAATTTCATCATATAAATACAAGATATGGGCAGCAATGAAAGGGTCTCTCTCTTGCCTCTTCATACACAATAGTTTCATCAAATCCATCAAGAACAAGGGGCTAATTACTATATTTTGAGAGAGAAGATCAAGCCATAGCAATGAATTGAAGTTCAATTACATCAAGTTTTGAAAAATTCAACTTTGGACGTGAAGATCAACATCTTTTGTATTCTTTCATGATCCCGGTGATATTTTTCTATTATTCTTCTTGTAATTTATATATTAATAAGCTAGACTAGTTTTTCATTGTATTGGATGAGATGAACCCTATTATTTATATATTTTAATTCAAGACAAGTATTTAGTTTAATTCGTGTGTTACTTGATTAATTTTGCATTCCCATTGCACTATTGAATTGTTTGGCCATAATTGCTTGTTGTAGTGTAGGAATACTCACAACGAGTCTAGAACGCAGCAAAATTAACATGTATAGTTAGGATTATGAATAATAACTATCATACATGCAATCATATTGATAACTTATACTAAATGCATGATTTTCATATGAATTCGGACTAGGAATATGATCGGGTCGTATTAATCATAGGTTAGTGTATCTTGGAAAAGAAAATTTAACATATTAGTGTTATCGATTGTCAAGAACTCGTGAAAGAAATTAGATTAAGAATCAAGAATTGAAATAAATAATAATAGGCGAAGTCAAAATCCAATACAATCCTCCATAATTTGATAAAACCCCAATTTTTATTGCTTTCTTAGATTAGTTGAGTTTAAATCAAATCAAAATATTTATTTTGTTTTCATAACTAGAATTCCATACGAAACTAGTAAACTTGAATTAAATTTATTTTCTGTGGAACGATATCTCTTAACTCACTTATTATTTCTTGTCAACAATCTCGTACGCTTGCGGGTATCACACGAACAAGTTTTTGGCGCCGTTGTCGAGGAATAAAGTTTTAGCTTGAATTTATTAATTTACATTGGATTTGAATTTATTATTATTATTATTATTATTTATTATTTTTGTTATTTTGGGCTTTAATCGTGATACCTAATTTTCTCTTATTTTACTCTTAAGTCTTTTACTAGATCTCGAAATCGAAAGGACCTTTAAGCAACGCTAAGAGAACTAAGAAGAACGACGGTAATGACTAAGAATCAAGATCAGATTCAAAATGCACTGCAGAATGCAGCACTTCAGGTTCAACAACCACCTCCAGCTCAGCCTATATTGGTTAGAGATTATGTGAATCTAGTACCTGCACCGATTCAACCTCCTATTCTCTATCCACCGTTCAGACAAGCAAACTTTCACATCCTACCAGATGCCATAAATCTTTTCCAGAATCATCAAGATATCAGGTTCAGTGGGAAAGCTACGGAAAATCCACATGAACATATTCAAGCTTTTACCATGCTTTGTGATGTCATTAGCCATGAGGGGATGTCACAAGATGCATTCCGAATGCGTTTATTCCCTCACACTTTGAAGGAGGGTGTGAAAATATAGATGATGTCACAACCCCCTGGGAGCACCGTATCGTGGAATGACATGGTACAAAAATTTACCATGAACTTCTTCCCACCATCTCAAGTCCACCAAATCAGAAACGAAGTATATCTTTTCAGACAGAAGGATCATGAGACATATCCGGAAGCATGGAAAAGGTTCAAAAGTGTGTTTAGGAAATGTCCAAATCTTGATGTTCCTAAACTAGCACAAATATATCTATTCTATAATGGACTGTGCGCTGAATTTCGCAATATAGTTGATGCTTCTCCGGGTGGATCAATTTTGACTATCGAGGTGGATGATGCACATAATTTATTTGAGAGGATTGTTGAGAATCAGGCCAACTGGCTAACAGATAGGGAAGCTTCGAGAAAAACAACTGGATTGCATAATGTGGACGCAGTGACAGCATTGGCAGCGCAAATGGAAGCAATGACAAAGAAGCTTGATACTTTAACTCAATCTGTGCATATGGTACAACATCCAGCTCCGGTATGCGCAGGTTGTGGGGCAGATCACATCACTTCAACCTGTTCTTTAGCTTCTAATCACATGGGTCAGTCAACAGAGGTCAATTATGTACAGAACTATCAGAGGCAAAAGGGATCTTACCCATACAACTACCATCCGGGTTTGAACAAGCATCCCAACTATTCGTGGGTGGATAATTCAGATCAAGTAAATCAGATGAAGGGTAATCCACCAGTAATTCAGCAACAGCAAGGTAAGAGGCAATCCTTGGAAGATCTACTGGTCACGTACATCACCAAGACTAAAATAGTAATGCAGAATCAACAGGCTTCCATACATAACCTAGAAAATCAGGTCGGACAGATAGCAGCTGCATTAGCCAACAGATCATAGGGTACCTTGCAGAATAACATAGAGAAGAACCCACGGGAGCAGGTATTAGTAGCTAAGGCTGTAAATTATGCAACTATTGAGCTCCCATCTACCACATCCACCACTCCTGTCAAAGCTTATGTGCCACCCATTTCGTTTCCTCAAAGACTTCAACGCCAGCCAACAGCAGAGCAGGTTCAGGACATCACCACTAGGAGTGGTGTTCAATTGCCAGAAATCACTGTAAAGAGGAAAGAGACAGAGAGAACTCAAATGCCTACTAAGGATGAGGAACCGATGGAGAATTTGCAGAATCAATAGAAAAGGACCAACAAACAGTTTCAGACAATCCACAGCTTAAGGCAAATGTTCCTGGCACTTCACTGACACCTCTGGTCCCTTTTCCTCAAACGTCACAGAAGACCAAATTGGATAAGCAAGCTATGAAATTCTTGGAAATCCTCAAAAAGTTGCATGTCAACATCCCATTCATTGACGCTATCCTTTAAATCCCAAACTATTCTAAGTTTTTGAAGGAGATGCTAACTAAAAAGAGGAAGATGCCCGAGCATGAAACAATAACACTATCTGAAGAGTTCAGCGCGATCATCCAGCACAGGATCCCTCCCAAACTTAAAGATCCAGGGGGTTTCACTCTACCTTGCTTCATAGGAAACTTACAAGGTATTAATTGTTTAATTGATTCAGGAGCAAGTATTAACTTAATTCCTTTGCCTCTTTACAGGAAATTGGGATTGGGAGATCCCAAGGCGGCTTCTATCATCCTTCAGCTGGCAGATCGAACATTGAAACATCCCTATGGAATAGTCGAGGACATGCTCATCAAGGCGGAAGAATTTATTTTTCCAACTGACTTTATCATTCTAGACATAGAAGAGGCATTCCAAATTCCAATAATACTAGGAAGGCCATTTCTATCAACAAGTCGGGCATTACTTGATTTTGATACAAACGAGATAGTCCCGAGGATGAAGGATAAGCATCAAAGCTTCACCATGGAGAATCCAATCAAGCAACCATCATATTTTGAGGATTGGCAATGAGTTGATCACTGAGAGAGTTACATAGGCCGGCCAGATGTAGGTGGAACTGTTGGTAGGGATAACAATGGAAACTTGATCATGTGACGGATGAAAGATGAAAGAAAGAAGTGCAACCAGTGCTTAAAATGCAGGGCTGAAAATTCTCTTTTCAAGCCATCATGAAAAGCCTAAAAGCAACAAATTCTAGCTAAAGTCTCTAAATTAAACACTTGTTGGGAGGCAACCCAATATTTCTATCCATTTTATTTTATTTTATTTTATTTTACTATAATTAGAATAGCTTAAGATAATTTAGATTAATTTTTATTTTAGGCACTCATCATCCATACCACATTTTCTCTTAGGTCTTTGAGATTTAGTGGTTTATTAAATGTTTGGGCTAACACATGTTCTAGGTTATTTGATCTCTAATTTTTTATTTAACTGCCATATGTAGGAACATGATGTCGCAAAATACTCAAATCAACATAGACCAAGGGAAAAACATGATGAAGGAGAATGTCTAACAGTTGCCCAAAGTGCGTTCTACGTTCAACAGGAAAATTCGGGGAGTACTTTCTTCCTTTCATTCCCCGTCCCCTGAAATTCTCAATTACGTTTTAAGACATTGAGGACAATGTCAAGTTTAAGTTTGGGGATGGGAAAAACTTTTTGAGTTTTTGATTTTTTTTTATGTTTTTGTGTGTTTCTTTAAAAAAATAATAATAAATTCGTTAAAATTTCTATTTTTATGCGTTAAAAAAATTATCTATTTATTTATTTTCGTTTGTTTGTGTGCTTGTGTGAGTTAGACAGTTTGGCTGACCATAATGATTAAATTTGATGTTTGGTATTGATTTATGAACTGTGGATAAGATGCATGCTAAACTAATTGAAGCTCAATGTTGCAAGACTTGATATTATACATGCACTAAAATTGAGTTTGACATTGTGATGAAATAAGTTGATTCATATGCTTGATAGGTTGATTTAATCGGATATAGACACTTTACTCATACCATACAAATTATTTATCCTTAGACCAAAATTAGCACAGTTTGGGGGTGATTTTGCTATTACAGAAAGATACGGATATGGACAGGGATTCCATGTGTGAAAACTTATGTGGATTGTCTTAGACTAACAGGATAAAATTGGGTGAAAGTTTTGAATTGGAGGTCGATTTGGGGCACTGCACTAATCAAGGCATATATTTTGAAATTAAAAACTTTTCTCTAAAGCCTTTATGACTCGAGTAATTAAGCCTGCAAGGGTATCTTAAAACCTGATACCCTAAAGTCGTCTGACTAGGGAGTCATCGGTCTAAAGCTCGTTACAGGGGTCATTTAGAAAGCAATCGGAGATGAAGTTGCACTTGAAAAAAAATTGTTCTCTTTGAAACTTTTTTGACAAGCCTGTAAGGATACCTTAAAATCTGGTGCCCTAAAGTCATCTGATTTGGGAATCATTGGCCTAAAGCATGCTACATGGGTCATAAATAAATTTTAATGGAGAGAGAAAAAAAACTCTTAAAAATCACAAAAAGCAAGTGCATGGAAAAAAGCAGAAGCACTAAATACCTTATTAAGTCCTAACACTTATTCGAGAAAATTTAACTTTTGATTAAAGATAATTAGCCTAATTTAGTCTTGGCGGTCGAAGCAATCAAATTAATTGAGAATCCTTGTTCATTGATGTATTGACTTTCAACCAGTGATGTCCACCTGAACTAGAGAGGGTAAGAATAGTAATGAAAAATTCAACATTAGATCACACGTTGGGAAAATAGTGAAAAAGAATAAATTTAGGGGTGTGTGAATCTTACGAGATATGAAAGGATATATTTGACCATAGAGGGTCGGGAATTGAAACAACTTGTGAAATCATTAATGTCTACTTAATTTTTCACACACAGACGTCGATTTTGCATTGGAAGAGTGGATATTGGTTTGGTGTTGTGACTTTAAATCAGTTTATAGATTTAATACGGTAATCTTGAATTTTATGATAAAAACTAGATTGTCCAACCAAATATTTTTGCATGCTTGTATGTTTGTTATTATTTAGGTTATATTTTTATTTGAGGACAAACAAAGATTCAAGTTTGGAGGTTTGATAAGTGTAGTTTCTACACTTATTTGAGATCTTAAATAATGATATTTTGTTATTCTTTGAATGGATTAGTACCTGATTTGTTATTTATTGCTTTTATTAGGACAAGTTCATGTTTCAAAGAAGAATTGGAAAAAATAACGGAAAATGGCTAAATGAAGCAAATCCAAAGTCTAGGGACCAAAGTGTAAATATTTAATGGTTGATTTGGACCACAAAAGATACTTTGAAAATTGATAGGAGTCAATTGAATGTAAATTGGAGTAAAAAATGAAAGGGAGATGACTAGAATATTACCATAAATCGACTTCCAATCATATAGGATATTTTCAAGATTTTTGGTCAACTTGAGACCCATTTTTCGGATGGAGAATGTTTGAATTGGAAAAATTATATTTCTAGAAGAATTGTATATCTTTTAATTAGCTTTCCAATGCACTTTGAATCACCTAAATCGGACACTGAAATAGAAAATTATGATCAAAATACTAAAAGCTATGCGGAAACAAAATTATGCGCGCGCGAAGGCAACTTTCCTTATTTGATTCAAACTCTTTTGGAAGATAATTTGGACTTGAATTTTGACCTAATTTCATCATATAAATACAAGATATGGGCAGCAATGAAAGGGTCTCTCTCTTGCCTCTTCATACACAATAGTTTCATCAAATCCATCAAAAACAAGGGGCTAATTACTATATTTTGAGAGAGAAGATCAAGCCATAGCAAGGAATTGAAGTTCAATTACATCAAGTTTTGAAGAATTCAACTTTGGACGTGAAGATCAACATCTTTTATATTTTTTTATGATCCGGGTAATATTTTTCTATTATTCTTCTTGTAATTTATATATTAATTTGCTAGGCTAGTTTTTCATTGTATTGGATGAGATGAACCCTATTATTTATTTATTTTAATTCAAGACAAGTATTTAGTTTAATTCGTGTGTTACTTGATTAATTTTGCATTCCCATTGCACTATTGAATTGTTTGGCCATCAGTTGAATAGTTAGTTGCTTGTTGTAGCGTATGAATACTCATAACGAGTCTAGAACGCGGCAAAATTAACATGTATAGTTAGGATTAAGAATAATATCTATCATACATGCAATCATATTGATAACTTAAACTAAATGCATGATTTTCATATGAATTCGGACTAGGAATATGATCAAATCGTGTTAATCATAGGCTGGTGTATCTTGGAAAAGAACATTTAACATATTAGTGTTATCGATTGTCAAGAACTCATGAAAGAAATTAGATTACGAATCAAGAATTGAAATAAATAGCAATAGGCGGAGTCAAAACCCAATATAATGCTCCATAATTTGATAAAACCCCAATTTTTATTGCTTTCTTAGATTAGTTGAGTTTAAATCAAATCAAAATATTTATTTTGTTTTCATAACTAGAATTCCATACGAAACTAGTAAACTTGAATTAAATTTATTTTCTATGGGACAATAACTCTTAACTCACTTATTATTACTAGTCAAAGATCTCGTACTCTTGCGGGTATCACGTGAACAGGAGGAAACCCGAAGTTGGAAAGTGAATCCTCGCGCTTACACTGTGCATGGCTGGAAGCACCCGGCCTAGGAGCTAGAGCCACCTCACGAGGCTCATCTAAAGGCTGGAAGGTCTCGTTGATCGCCCGAGACCTCCCCCCTTGGTCGGCCGCCTTCCTTCTCTTTGACGGGATAGGTGATGGATCGCCCCATCCCCCTGTCCCTAGTCGGGCATGGAATCCATGATCCCTTCAAGATCAAATTCTGCCCCTGCACATGTAAGTTAAAATCCGTTAAGATCACAAGGTAGAAGAGCATGAGGATATAAAAAAAAGGAGAGGTGAACACAAAAGCTTACCATCAACGGGAGCATGGCCCTCATCGCCTCTTGGCAGGGTCTTCAATACCTCATCAAGATCAAAGTCCATATCTGTATGCACACACCCAAGCTCATTAGCCCCGAAAAACTAAAAGCAAAAAATAATAAATGAACGTGAGTGCATGCGATAAAAAAAAACCGAAGGAAACAACCTACCAATAGGACGACTCATCCCCACTATCAACATGTTCTTCATGGTTAAGACTGATCCTAAGTCAGGTGTGAGAGGCAGTACATCAACCAACTCTTGGATTTGAGCTTTTAGAAAGGGGGTAACTTCTACTTGGCTATTGAATAGATGAATTTGGTGGTGTCGCCAATTGGTGTTGAAAGAGAACCGACCTGCTGAAGGCCGGACGAACAAAAATCGGGATTTCCATCCGCTATTCGAATTTCTAATTTAGGAAATTGCAAAGGAACCTTGGTGGTAAAAATAGACGAATGCATTACACTGAACTAGCTCATGCATTTCGAAGAAGCACCTGAAAAGGTCTATGGAAAGTGATATTTTCCTTCTGAGACAAACATATAGGAAATATAGCGCCTTTCTCCACGCATTGGGATTTATTTGACTATGAGTAAAGTGAAACTCATTAAAAATCGACACAAAAAAGAGATGAATGGGAAACCACAAACCCCTGTCCATATCATCCTTGTACACGACTACCTCGCGGGGGTTGGACCCAGGGAGTCTTTCTTTAGGACCGAGGGCTCTATAGACGTAATCATCAACCTGGTCATACTTACCTAGACAATTTTCTAACTTAAGTGGGGAATTGTAGAGACTATAACTTTTTGGGATATCTAGGGGGATAACCTCACCAGCCGGGTCTCGCCCAATTTCTAAATTTTGGTTTGAAAACTTGGCAGAACTAATGTGCCTTTTAGGGGAATTTGGGACAAACGCCTAAGAATCGATTGAATGAGTCTCATTATCAATGTCATAAAGAGATCTACCGGACGAAGGGGGCGGGTCACTAGCGAGTTAGGTCAAGTGGCCGGATGGGCTACGAAGATCA